GCTTGGATTAACACTTAGTCTACAGGCACACACCTGATCATGTAAATTTGCTCTCTTACCGAACTAAACTATGTTTTCTACCTTTATCTTGCATCTACGTACCACTTCAGCATTTTATTAATAAAAATAATAATAATAAGGGAGAAATGTGGGATTCACATATAAATCAAGTATAAAAATCAAACGAATATTCATATTTGACCTGATTGTTTATAGTTCATAATGTGTAATCAAAACTGAAAGTTTCTGTGATGACTGCCCTTGTACTGTTCACCATATAAGAACTTATTCACTATGTAAGAACTTGTTCACCATGTAAGAACTTGTTCATTATGCTTCAAAGGATTGGAGACTGACAAGAATTAGGCTTGGGGTGGATTAATGATTTTACATTGAGCATTGAGTCCCCTGTACAGAATTTTATTGTTGTTAACAACCATTTGATCAATAAATATGAGAGATGCCCTCTCAAAAAAAAAAAAGATGTTGAAATGATTCCTTGACCCATGGGTGCAAAATGGACATTGTGTTTGCAGGCATTAAAACACAGTAACCTTGTACATCTCCATCATAACTGTTGAGTAAACAGGTACATTGTCAGTGAGCAGTAATAATTTTTAATGGAATCTTTTTTCTGAGTAGCAGGTCTCCACAGTGGGTTACATACTCAGTAAATCACTAAATAATGTTGTAACAGGTGTGTTGCCATCTAGGCTTTATTGTTCCATTTCTATGAGCACAGCAGGGGAGATTTAGCATAAATATTAAGGCCCTACGATCTTCCAGATTGTAAGTGAACATTAGCTTCAACTTAGTCACCAGCTGGATTATTCTCCAACAAGAGGTCACCCTGTCCTTTGAAGCATTGAAACCAAGCACTGACTTCTCCTTAGCTATGAAAGTCCTAGATGCCGTCTTCTTCCATTCTGACACTGTCTTGTCTACACTGAAAATCTATTGTTCAGTGTAGCCACCTTCATCAATAAGCTTAGCTAGATGTTCTGGGTAACTTGCTTCAGCTTCACATCAACACTAGCTGTTCACCTTGTGCCTTTGTGTTAGGGAGACGGATTCGTCACTTAAACTTTATGAACCATCCTGTGCTAGCTTCCAACTTTTCTTCTGCAGCTTCCTTCCCTCTCTCAGCCTTCACAGAATTCAAGTGAGTGTGGGCCTTGCTCTGGATTAGGCTTTGACTTCAGGGAATGTTGTGACTGGTTTCATCTTCTTTCCAGACCACCAGAACTCTCCATATCAACAGTAAGACTGTTTTATTTTCTTATTTTTGTATGTTCTCTGGAGTCACACTTTCAGTTTCCTTCAAGAACTTTTCCTTTGCATTCACAAGCTGGGAAATTGTTTGGCACAAGAGACCTGGCTTTTGGCCTATCTCAGCTTTTTTTTCGCTGTTCCTTTTTTAAATTTTGATATCATTAATATACAGTTACATAAGCAACATTGTGTTTACTGATTCCCCCCCATTATCAAATCCCCACCACATACCTCATTACAGTAATTGTCCATCAGCATAGTAAGATGCTATAAAGTCACTACTTGTCTTCTCTGTGTTATACTGCCTTCCCTGAGCACCCCCCTACATTATGTGTGCTAATCGTAATGCCTATTATTCCCCTTATTCCCCTTCCCACCCGCCCTCCCCGGTCCCTTTCCCTTTGGTAACTGTTAGTCCATTCTTGGGTTCTGCGAGTCTGTTGCTGTTTTGTTCCTTCAGTTTTTGCTTTGTTCTTATATCTGCAGATGAGTGAAATCATTTGATACTTGTCTTTCTTCACCTGGCTTATTTCACTGAGCATAATACCCTCTAGCTCCATCCAAGTTGGTGCAAATGATAGGATTCATTTTCTTCTTATGACTAATATACCATTCTGCATATGTACCACATCTTCTTTATCCATTCATCTACTGATGGACACTTAGGTTGCTTCCATTTCTTGGCTATTGTAAATAGTGCTGTGATAAACATAGGGGTGCATATACCTTTTTGAAACTGGGCTGTGGCATTCTTAGGGTAAATTCCTGGGAGTGGAATTCCTGGGACAAATGGTATTTCTATTTTGAGTTTTTTGAGGAACCTCCATACTGCTTTCCACAGTGGTTGAACTAATTTACATTCCCACCAGGTATGTAGGAGGGTTCCCCTCTCTCCATATTCTCACCAACATTTGTTGTTGTTTGTCTTTTGGATTGTGGCTATCCTTAGTGGTGTGAAGTGATATGTCATTGTGGTTTTAATTTGCATCTCTCTGATGATTAGCGGTGGAGCATCTTTTCCTGTACCTGTTGGCCATCTGAATTTCTTCTTTGGAGAAGTATCTGTTCAGGTCCTCTGCCCTTTTTTAATTGGCTTATTTGCTTTTTTTGTTTTGTTGAGGTGTGTGAACTCTTTGTATATATTAAATGTCAATACCTTATCAGGTATGTCATTTATGAATATATTCTCCCCTACTGTAGGATACCTTTTTGTCCTACTGATGGTGCCCTTTGCTGTACAGAAGCTTTTTAGTTTGATTTAATCCCACTTGTTTATTTTTACTTTTGTTTCCCTTGCCTGGGGAGATATGTTCATGAAGAAGTTGCTCATGTTTATGTCCAGAAGATTTTTGCTTATGTGTTTTTCTAAGAGTTTTATGGTTTCATAACTGATATTCAGGTGTTTGATCCATTTTGAGTTTACTTTTGTGTCTGGATTTAGACAATAATCCAGTTTCATTCTCTTACATGTATCTGTCCAGTTTTGCCAATATGAGCTGTTGAAGAGGCTGTCATTTCCCCAATAATGAATTTAGAGTATTCATTTGCGATTGTTCTTCCTTCTTTAAATAGGCCTGGATTGCTATATACTTTTCTCTTAGAACTGCCTTTGCTCCATCCTACAGAATTTGGGGTGTTGTGCTGTGGTTTTCATTTGCCACCATATTTTTCTTGATCTCTGTTTTTATTTGGTTATTGATCCATTGATTATTTAGGAGGATGTTGTTAAACCTCCATGTGTTGTGAGCCTTTTTGTTTTCTTTCTACAATTTTATTTCTAGTTTTATACCTTTGTGATGTGAGAAGTTGTTTGGTAGAATTTCAATCTCTTTCAATATACTGAAGCTCTTTGTCACCTAGTATGTGGTTTATTCTGGAAAGTGTTCCATGTGCACTTGAGAAGAATGTGTATCCTGCTGCTTTTGGGTGGCATGCTCTATAGAAGTCTGCTAGATCCATCTGTTTTAATGTTGTTCAGTGCCTCTGTGTCCTTAATTATTTTCTGTCTGCTTGATTTGTCCTTCAGAGTGAGTGGTGTGTTGAAGTCTCCTAAAATGAATGCATTGAATTCTATTTCCTCCTTTAATTCTGTTAGTATTTGTTTCACATATGTCGGTGCTTCTGTGTTGGGTGCATAGATATTTATAATGGTTATATCCTTTTGTTGGGTTGAACCCTTTATCATTCTGTAATGTCCTTCTTTGTTTCTTGTTACTTTCTTTGTTTTGAAGTCTATTGTGTCTGATACAGGTACTGGAACACCTGCTTTTTTCTCCCTATGGTTTGCATGAAATATCTTTTTCCATCCATTCACTTTTAGTCTTTGTATGTCTTTGGGTTTGAGGTGAGTCTCTGGTAGGCAGCATATAGATGGATCTTGGTTTATTTATACATTATGTAATTCTGGGTATTTTAATTGGTTCATTCAGTCCATCTACATTTAGGATGATTATCCATAGATATGTACTTATTGCCTTTGCAGGCTTTGGATTCATGGTTACCAAATGTTCAAGGGTAGCTTCTTTACTATCTAACCATCTAACTTTAGTCACTTATTAAGCTATTGCAAACACAGTGTGATGATTCTTTCCTTCCCTTATTTTCTTTCCTCCTCCACTCTTTATACGTTAGGTGTTTTATTCTGTACTCTTTGTGTTTCTCTTGACTGACTTTGTGGATAGCTGATTTTATTTTGCATTTAGTTACTATTTAGTTGGTCTACTTCCTTTGCTGTGTCTTTATTTTTCTTTGGTGACAACTATTTAGCCTTAGGAGTACTTCCATCTAGAGCAGTCCCTTTAAAGTATGCTGTAGAGATGGTTTGTTGGAGGTAAATTCCCTCAACTTTTCCTTATCAGGGAATTGTTTTATCCCTCCTACAAATTCAAATGATAATCTTGCAGGATACAGTATTCTTGATTCAAGGCCCTTCTGTTTCATTGCATTGAATATATCATGCCATTCCCTTCTGGCCTGTAAAGTTTCTGTTGAGAAATCTGATGATAGCCTGATGGGTTTTCCTTCGTAGGTGATCTTTTTTCTATCCCTGGCTGCTTTTTTTTTTGTGAAGCGTTCCATATTTTCTTTTTTTAAAAAACAATATGGAAAACTTCACAAATTTATGTGTCACCCTTGCTCAGGGACCATGATAGTCTTCTCTATATCATTCCAATTTTAGTGTATGTGCTACCAAAGCAAGCACTCTGGCTGCTTTAAATACCCTGTCCTTGTCTCTGATCTTTGCCATTTTATTATTATATGTCTTGCTGTTGTCCTCCTTGAGGCCCTTGTGTTGGGAGATCTGTGAACTTCCATGATCTGAGAGACTTTTTCCTTCCCCAGATTGGGGATGTTTTCAGCAATTATTTCTTCAAAGACACTTTCTATCCCTTTTCCTCTCTTCTTTTCTGGTACCCCTGTAATACAAATATTGTTCCATTTGGATTGGTCACACATTTCTGTTAATATTCTTTCATTTCTAGAGATCCTTTTGTCTCCCTCTGCCTCAGCTTCTCTGTATTCCTGTTATCCGATTTCTATTCCATTAACAGTCTCTTCCACCTCATCCAGTCTGCTCTTAAATCTTTGAATTGTTTGTTTCATTTCTGTTATCTCCCTACTGAATTCATCCCTTAGCTCTTGAATATTTCTCTGTAGCTCCATCAGCAGACTTATGACTTTTATTTTGAAGTCTTTTTCAGGAGATTGGTGATTTCCTTCTCACCAAGTCCTCTTTCTGGTGTTTGAGGGATTTTGGACTGAACAAGGTTCTTCTGCCTTTTCATGGTGATGGGAGTGGTTGCCAGTGAGTGGTGCATGTCAGCTGGGAGAACAAAGTCCCTTCCTGCTTGCGGTTGCCTTGCCTGTCTCAGCTGTCTGTGCCATTTCACCGTGCACAGGGAGCAGCCTCAGGGTTAATCCCCTTGGCTGCCATGGTTGGGGTGGTCCTCGGGATGGCCTAGGGCATTGGTGGGGGTCGCAAGCCAGTAGACCTTTGTCTGCTGCAAGGACAAAGTCCCTTCGTGCCTCCCTTTCTCAGCTCCTGTCTCCACTGTCTGTACCGGTCAGTCGCATGCAGAGAGCAGCCTCTGGGTCTGAACTGGTTAGCAGCATGCAGGGAGAAGCCTCTATATTAAGCTGTGTGGCTGCTTCAGGCGGCATTGCTCTCCCGCTGGTCTGCAGCAATGGTGGGTACAGCTGGTTTGCTTGCAGGTGCTGGCCTGGAGGAAGGAACGCCAGGCTGCTTAATGCTGTGAGGGTCCTCAGAGCTGCATTGCCAACCAGGAGGTTATGACACCTGAAGTTCCTTAAAGTTCCCAGCCTGCTGGGCTGAGTGTGTCAGGATGGTTTTGTCCACCTATTAAACCCTTGTCCCTTTAATACTTTTGAAGTATCTGCTTTTCTTTTGTCCCAGGGTAGTTGGATTTGGGAATATGTTCACAATCTTAGTCTCAGATTTTGTTTTTCCACTCCTCTAATATCCAGAGCACCATGCAATGTGTGTCTATGCTCCCAGGGAAGATTACTAGGGCTGGTTATTTAGCAGAGTCCTATGCTTTCACTCCCAACCTGCTCTGATTCTTTTCCTCCTGACAGTAAGCTGGGCTGGGGTGAGTGCTTGGGTCCCGCCAGGTCATGGCTTTGTATCTTACCCTTTTCCATGAGATGTTGGGTTCTCCCAGATGTAGACTGGCTCATGTATTATAACTTCTGGTCACTCTTTTAGGAATAGTTGTATTTGCTGTATTTTCAAAATATATATGGTTTGGAGAGATTTCTGCCACCCTGCTCACACCTCCATCTTTTACTCTCTCCTATCGGCATTTGACATGCCTTCCTCATTAAGCTTAGTGATTTGTAGCTTTGGACTTAAAGTGAGACATGCAACTCTTCATTTCACTTGAACACTTAGAGGTCACTGCAGGGTTAATAACTGGCTTAATTCCAGTATTGTTGTATCTCAGGGAATAGGGGGCCCTGAGGAACTGGAAAGATGGGGAAATGGCTGGTCGGTTAAGCAATCAGAACACACACATTTACCCATTAGATTCACCATCTTATATAGGCATGGTTTGTGGTGCTCTCCTAAAATTACAGTAACATCAAAGATCACTGCTCATAGATCATCATAACAAAGATAATGGAAAAATTTGAAATATTGTGGGAATTACCAAAATATGGTAAAGAGACACAAAATGAGCAAATCATATTGGAAAAATCATGCTGACAGACTTGCTTAATGCAGGGATGCCACAAAACTTCAATTTGTAAAAAATGCAGTGTCTGTGAAGCACAATAAAATGAGGTATACCTATAATGTTTGTGGTATTTTGTATGTGTTAATGATTTTCTCTGATGTTATTATTTCACAAAACATGGCAGAGACATAGTGATGTTTCTAGGAAGTGAACTTATGAAAGTTGTGAAGACAGCTCTCCAAAATATTTGTATTGAATATTTTATATATTCCTTAGCTCCCGCTGATGTTAGTATATAACATAATTGCTGCAACCATTGTGGAATTCTGATTTGGGGGAAATGGTTTCTATTTTTTCTTTTTCTTCCATTCTTCCTTTCTTTCCTTCTTCTTTCTTTCTAGTAAATAACTTTTTTTAAACTCGTTTAAAGACCACAGAACAAACTGAGAATTTGCCTGCAAGGACTTCCTCAGAGATAAGCTTCTCCAGCACTTTCCCAGCCTCTCCAGGGCAGTACTTTTACAAACGATTTTGGGAAACTCTTGAATTATTGCTAGAAGAATCGTAACTCATAGCCTCAGCATCTGTCTGCAGGAGCTGCAGGTGACAGGTCTTGTTTAGATGATATATATTCCAAAGGTGCTCAGAGCACACAGCTCCAAACTTAAATGTTCAGAAGCTGCATCACGCCAGCACACAATTGATTACAACCATGAGTGCCTCCGAGAGCACAAGTACCCCAAACTGATAATCAAGTACCTCCACAACAGGACAACCACCTTTTGTCATTCTGTTTCTCCATCCTCATGTGCTCCACTTCAGCAACAGGGCCACGCTCCTGAGATCTGATGTCACAGCACCCAGGCCCATCTGCAGGGGAGCACAGAACCCTGTCCTTTATTGATTTCATTGCCTGGGATAGCTCTGAATCAGATGATAATTGCTGCAACAGTTCTTCATATATGCTATTTCTTGCTTTCTTTGACCAGTTTGGGTTTCTATGAAAATCCTACTTGTTTAATATGCTGCTCAAATATCTGCTTCCCAAAGAAAATTTCAGCATCAACACACATGTACACATCTCACAGTTAATACCAGTGTCTGAACTTCAATACTATATTACAAGCCCCTCATGATGAAAATCAACTAAAAAATGTAATTAAAGTTCCTTTTTAGAAGATGCTTAAATACTGGTATATCACATCAAAGAATTGAACTTTTAAAATGAATGGTCTAAATAGATACTGAGAATGGAATTTGATTAGCGTCAGTGCCTTTTCCTAATAACTTCACAAGTGAAAATGAGAATGAAAGGATGCTTTCTCACAGTGATGAATACATATGTGGTTTAAATCAAAAGTACCTAACAGTAACTACTAGAAACAGTTTCATGAAAATCCAGAATAAAATAAAGGACCCCAAAATTATGAATATTGTTTAGTATTTTAGGTAATTTCTGATCATTACAAAATGGAGAAAACAAAAATTGGAGGTATAGGCATAGAAAAGGAAAAGATAAATTATTACAACTTGTAGATGGGATAATTGTAAATCTAAAAGTGGCAAAAGAAACAACTGACCAATTATGAGAATTTGAAAAGAATTCAATTATCACAAAGTAAATATACTAAAATTAAATGTGTATATATATCATCAATGGCCACTTAAAAAAAAACTGCAATTAAAAATATTTCCATTCAGAAGAGTAACTAACTAGACAGTATCCCTGGGGGGTACAGTCTTAACAATGGGTGTTGGGGCCTAAAGGAAAACAAAGCAAAACATGGGGCCTGGGGGGATTAGAATAAATCAAGTGATGTGAGTGAAGACAGGGCCTCCAGGTCCCAGTAGCAGCCTGGCTGGCAGACCCCCCAGGAGACCAGCGCTAGTCCAGGTAGTGCTGGAGCACATCAGACCCACCAGGCAAACTTCCCTGCATGGCCTTGGCAGTCACCAGTTCCTCTGCCTGGACTCTTCGTCCCCAAACACCCTCATGGCTCACTCCCCACCTGCTTCCTGCCTCGGCGCAAAGGTCATCTAGTGTAGCCTCATTCTGACAGTTCTATTAAAAATCAGGAAGTAGCTGCTGGGCCCATTCCTGCTTCCCCGCATCATTTCCTCCACTGCACCCACTACCTTGGAACACAGTGCACTAATTTACTCCTTTATCTGCTCTCTCCCCTAATAGTGTGATCTCCATGAGAGCAGAGATTTTTTTTAGTCCATATTGTTCACTGCTGAATGAAAGAATGAATGAATGAATGAAACAAAATACAGTTGATCTTTGAACAACATGGGTTTGAACTCTGTAGTCCACTTATACAGGGATTTTTTTCAATAAAAATATTGGAAACCTTTTGGAGATTTGTGACAGTTTGAAAGAACCTTTTCTTTCTCTAGCTTAACTTATTGCAAGAATAAATTATGTAATTCATACAACATACAAATATGTGTTCATTGACTGTGTTATTGGCAAGGCTTCCGGTTCACAGTAGGCTATTAGTACTTAAGTTTTGGGGGAGTCCAAATATACCAGGATCTTGGTGCACATGGGGATGGGGAACCCCTACCCTCCAGTTGTTCAAGGGTCAACTGTATGCATACATTTTAAAGATAGAAAGAAAACACCAGAAATAATTATGCAATAGTAATGATATTATGAATGATTATTTTTATTTTATTTTCCAAACATTTTGTAGCTTGAGTTAGTACCTTTACTTATTAAGAGAAAATTATATTTTAAAAGATTATTGTTCTACCTAGCTAGCTCATTTCCCAAGTTGTTTGCTAGGAAAAAGGAATATGCAGAGAACAGACAGACTCATTCTACAGGTGAACAACAAAAAACAAGCACACAGTCTATTTCCATTAGGCCTCCCTCCTTTTGACTTCATTGTTTTAAATCTTAGATGTTCTTAACTATAGCTATTATCTATATAACTATAGCTATAATCTGTGCCTTGAACTCACATTTTTATCTCCACCTTTTAATTACCATTGTTTT